TAGGAGGGTGAAAAGTCTTTACGGTAGTTTGAACTAATACGGTAATTTAATTACCGTAATGTGTGGGAAGTCTTTACGGTATTCTTATTACCATAGTACTTTGCCAGTCACTTCCACTCTCCTATTGGTTGAAAAGCTTCAAATCGAAGCTAATATCAGGGCTACCCCTCTTCCTTTCAAAAAATCCATGATCTCATGGGAGCACGATGTGGATCTACTGCTTCGCTCAAAAATACATATTTAAGAGTGTTTTTGTTCTAAACTTTTGAGAACCATATAAAAATTAAGTAGAGATTATATCCTAAAAATTTAAGATTGAAAAATACAGCTATCATGGATTCTTGTCGAGGGAGTAAATAGATAGTAGACTCAAGAGAGTAGAAAACCATTTGTTTTGAGGGTTGGGCAATATTACAGTAATTAAATTATCGTGACACTACTTTAAGGTATTACGATATTTTAATTATCGTAATTCTCCTTCAACTTATTAAGGTATTTAAATTACTGTAATGTTATTACAGTAATTAAATTACCGCAATATTACTTTAGGGTATTATGGTATTTTAATTACCGTAATACTCCTTCAACTTATTATGGTATTTAAATTACCGTAATGTTCTTTATGGTAAAAAGTCTACCGTGAAGGGTATTTTCATAAAAATAAAAATAAAAAACCGAAAATTAGAAAAAAGGGTGCAGGTGAGGTTTTGAAAAATTGGGGGTTTTTTTTTCGATTTTATTAAAATATAGGTATAGTAGCGATAATTTCCTAATCAAACTTAATGAAAAATCACTTGAGTTGCAAAGAATATTCCTATACAATAAGCTTACTTTGGTGGAAGAGAAATTTTTAGGTATTATCCTTGCAGAAGCACTTTATAATAGAAACATCACCAATGGGGTCTTATTTTGTATAGGACAAAAGTTTATTTAAGGGAGTGCCATAAATAATCAAATTAAGGCGCATCTACACTATTCTTTAATCTTTAAATTTTACAATTCAAGATGAAAATAAATTTTAAAACCATCATAAAGATTTCTAATATTGAAATAACATATTCCAGCACTATTTAAATGTGTATTGTGCTTTGATTGTTTAAGGCCTTCGCCTTATACGACGAACCACATATTTTTCTATATATAGTGTAAATAGTATTAGAATCACCCTTAACCTTCAAATGTATGATTGGATAACTTGAGACAAGACATCATACACATGTTAAAGAAAAAATTTCTCAAAATACATAACATACGACCAAGCACTTAAATTTATTTTTAAGTGATTTGGGACTTACTTTTAAGGACTAGGGGTCTCGTGACCCTTTGTACGAAAAGTAATACTTGATTAAACTTTCTATATATCCATGAAAACACCTTAACAAGTCTACCAGGGTATAATTCGATATTTGATGGAGATTAAATCCACTTTTACTTAACATATTTTGATGAAGAGACATCTTAAGATCTTCCCTACCCGCATGATCATGCCAAACCAGTGTTTAAAAAAACGCCGAGTCGAACAGGATTTGCCCGGTTCGACTCGGGAATCGCAATGGATGGATCGAATCGGTGAAAAAAACGGGAATCGTCCGGTTCTAGAGAGAACCGGACGATTCTGCACAGTGACTCGCCGATTTACTGTACGGAATCGGCGAGTCCTGTACGGAATTTTTTTTTTTTTTTTTTTGTAGTCCATGATAACTTTTTTGTAATACTTGATCAATTTTTTTGTAATCCATGATCGTTAATTTTTTGTTTTTTTTTTTTGTAACCCATGATAAAATTTTTTGTAATCCATGATCGAATTTTTTGTTTTTTTTTTTTTGGTAACCCATAATAGAATTTTTTGTAATCCATGATGGAATGTTTTGTAATCCATGATCGAAAT